TTCAGGACCAGCCAGGAGATTCCTGGGGTTACAGAACCTGGTGGGAGATGGTCCTGGCTCCCGGTGGGCACCTCCATGTGGACAGCACATGCTTCACGGTGGAGAGGCCATGGTTAGCAGATAAACAGGATGCCCAACATTTGGGACATATTTATACTAAATTTTACTGTTTATCTGAATTTCAAGTTGAACCGGGCATTCTGTATTTTATCTGGCAACCCAACCCCATGAGGAAGGGGAAAGGAATGTTCCAGGCCCCTGCAATGGACCAGTCACCCAGCTTGGCTTCACAGCCCGGAGCTCATCTGTATTCCGCCTTCTGCAGTTCTCCCTTCTGGACTCCAGGACCCCATGAATGAAGCGAGGGATAGCATCTCCTTCTTACTAACAAGGAAGCTACAGCTCAAAGACTTTCAGAAACATGCCCAGGTAGCCCAGTCAGTAAGTCAGGGGCCTGGGACCCCAGGCCTGTGGCTCTTTGCAGCATCTCCCTCTCTTCCCACCCACAAACCATTCCCTTGGGCATCATGACTTGAATGAACCATGACTTCCTTATGAAGCAGACAGCCACTTGAATTCAACTGTTTCCCCAAAGCCCAGTGCAGCACCTGCTGGCCTCAGAGGTGGCAGTCCAGAAATGTTTGTGAAAATAAGAGGGAGGGAGGGGGAAGGGGGAGAGGTAGGTAAGGTGAGAGGGAGGGAGAGAGAAAAGGGAGGAAAGGAGAGGTGGGGGGGGTGGATCCTCAACGAGCTTCCTAGACACTGGGACACAGGCTTGAAGGAGGTTTAACATCATTAGGATGGTAGGACTTTCTCTTTCTGCGGGTGAGCCAGTGACACCTTCCTCCCAGGAGGCCCAGTGCCCTGAAGGCAGAACTTCCCCAGAAGTAGCCTCCTGCCAGGCCAGAAGCCAAAGTGCAAGGATGGGTCCTGGTTCCCAGGCAGCAGATGGACAGAGAGGAGGCTTGAGGATGAGCCATTCCTTCACCCATCTGTACCACCGGCTTGGGGAAGGGACACCGATTATAATGAGTTTAAGGTGTTTCTTTCTTCTTCCTTCCTTCCTCCTTTCCTTTCTCTTTCTTCTCCTTTTTGTACTGCTCCTCCCCAAATGAAGGGGTAGGAGGACCTGAGGGGCGAGGTCACCCCAGCAGTCACCTGGAGGAGGGCAGTCTGGCCCTACAAGGGTCGGGGGTGGAGACCAGCCTGTTTCCAGGAGGTAGACAGCACCCCTAGGCAGAGGCAAGCTGGGAACTGGGGAGCAGACCCCGGGGCTCACGCATCTAGAATTATCTTGGTTTACTTTTTTTAACCATTGGTGTTTAGTGAAATCTCTTGTCTCAGGTCACCTAACCAGAACAAAGGAGGGAGAAAGCCTCTGCCACATGCCTCACTTTGTTACCCCTCAAAGTGGTCCTTGATTTTTCTAAGCAACTTGATGGCTCAGGAAGCTTAAGGATAAGTTCTGGGAGAAAAGGAATGGCAGTTCCAGAAGCTGGTGATGGGAAGCAGCAGGAGGGAGCTGAGATGGGGGAGGAGAGCGCCCCCAGGGCCTCCTGCTTGAACACAGTGGGGAACATTCCAGGGGCTGAGCAAGCAGCCGCTGACAGAAGGCTGAGGACACAGACACTGACTCCAGGGACCAAGAGGACACAGTCCCTCTCATCCCCACGCACCCCACCCTGGGCTTCAAGGAAACTTCTGTTTGATCTTGGGGGCAGGAAGGAGCCCATGTAGTACCTGGGTTGACTTGCTGAGTTTGTTTTTCACCCCTGCCTGCCTGGGCATGCAGCCTTGCACTCCCAAGAGCAGGGGCCACAGAAGGCTGGGAGAGGGGACACCTAGAACGCCCTGCCCTCAGCATGCACCTGGGGGCTCACAGGCTGGCCTCAGATCCCAGCTACAGCTGGTAGCCATGTGACTCTGGTCAAAACCTCACCTGGCTCCTTATCTGCAAAATAAGGAAATATGAGGGAGTAAAGCTCCACCACAGGCCTGTTATAAAGTGGGGAAGCAGGCCTGGTCCTTGGTACATGCTCAGAAATATTATGTCCTGCTCAGAGTCAATTGGCTACTTTGTAGGTCTGTTTAGAGAAGCTAAAATAAATACAAACAACACAGTGGTCTCTCTCAGCTCTCAGCCTCCTCTAGAAGTTGGCCCTGAACCTCCCATCTGGACCGGTTGTCTATCTGTCTCCCTTTAAGCTTGCTTTTGCCCTGGAACTGTCTCCTTCCTCTGGAAAAAGCAAAGGTTCTTGGCCCATCAGAGACAGTAGAGGCGACGTGTCCTGTCCCTGCCTGGCCCTGGAGAGGAGTCACACGAGGGACGCCACCCCTGTGGTCAGGGGCCAAGGGGAGAGATACCCTGTCTGCAGTTGCAGGAGAGCGGCCCACCCCTGCCTGAACCTGGGGTCAAGAGCACCGTGAGAGACAAGGCTGGGGTGCCCCACATCCTGCCCATGCGGAAGGAGCCTGCATGCAGATGTGCACAGAGGAGAGGGGCAGCCCTGGAGCTGAGGGCCCTGTGGTGGGACCCAGGCAGTGAGGGAGGAGAGGGCAGAGGGGATGGGGACAGACTGCTCGTGTGCCTGCAGAGCAGCTGTTTCCCAGGAAGGACAAGGACCCCTGGGAGGGCTGGGACCAGGCTGAGCCTCCCTCACCCTTTCCTCTGTTTCTGTCTCTGCCTCACTTGACAAACTGCTCAGCAGCCCAGAGGCTAATCCCAGGCTGGGTGGTTCCTCATCCGCAGGAGGAGGGAGATCGGGAGGGAGATCTACCCGAAAGCCCCAGGGGACTGGGGATACTGGCCCGTCTTCCTTCAAGGCTGGTGAAGGTCCATCAGTGCTGAGGATCATTTATTATCAGCTGATGACAAGTCACCCTTCCCAGCTTTCAGCAGAGGAGTGGCCCCAACTGCAGGGCCTCAGGCCCTGGGGTAAGGGGCAGGAGCTGGGGGACTTCCCTCCAACGCCCGGTTACCATGAGGATAATACCTACAACCAGAACACCCTGCTGTGTCCCCAACAGGGACACTTTAGAATTAGATGGTTCCTGTGCAGCTCAACAGGCCTAAACCACAGCTGCCCTGGCCAGCCAGCAAATGGAGTCCCTGCCTCTAACCCACACCCAAAAGGCAAAGTAGCTTGGGGAGCCCCTGATGGGAGAGGCTGAGTCTGAGCCCCTGCCTGATACACCCAAAGCTGCCTCGGCTCCAAAGCCTCCAGGGTCCAGGGATTAAGGCTCAGTTGGGCCTCTGGCCACAACAGCCCCACTGGACACCCGGTGTCTGACACAGCAGTGGCCGGGAACACAGGGAGTGGCCTCCTTGGGCCTTCGCCTTTCCCCACTGCAGACCCCAAGATGCTCTAGGGACACCAGAGGAGGAGTCAGAGGCCCGGCCACACTAGAAAGGGACAGGCTGGGGAAAGAGGGGAACACAGAGTGGGTAGGGGAAGGTGGGGGTGTAGCCCCCTAGGCTCACAGCAGGTGCACATGCAGGGGACCTCCTCCCAGCCCCCACCCAGGCAGGCCCACCTTGCTCACCTCCACAGCACCCAGGGATGGGTGAGCAGGCCTCCCTGCTGCACAGCCCTCAGTCCTGAGAATGGAGAACGTGGCGGCCAGTGCTTCCGACTTCCGTTCCCCTCAGAACCACATGCCAGCCCCTCCCGCCCCAGCCTCCTGGGCCCCCAGCTGCTTCCACCCACACTTCCTACCAGCACCCAGGCCCAGCAGCTCTGGGCCCCTTCCCCATGCCCCTACACCCTGGCAGCTCCCACTCTCCACAGGGAGCAGAGTTGGGGGACGCCCTTCTCCCCAGCCCAGGGCCCAGGAGAGGAAAAGGGGAAGGTGCTACGCCCTGACTGTGGGCAGGCCCCACCCCCTCCCTCCTGTAGCTCAGCCACCAAGTTCTCATGTCTGCCCCAGCTAAGGCTCCTTCAGGGCAGCCAGTGGGACACAAGAGAGCTCTGGGCCTGGCAACTCTTCTTCTGTCTCATGAATGGCGCTGTGATTTTACATGCTTATGTCTGTGCAAGTAAAGAAGGCTTCTGATATGGCTGTCCCCCCAGCAGCACCCCAGCTGGTCCTCCCCCCTTTTTGGAAGCATGACCATATCCAGTACATGGATACGGAAGCAGGCTCAGAGCGATTAAGCCAGTGCCCAGAGTTGCACAGCTGGGAAGTCACAAAGCTGGGTTAGAACTCAGAGCATTTGACTACATGAAACAACCATCACCTGCTCCCATGGCTGAATTCCCAATGTGTATCCAAGGGACACAGGTCACAGGTGACCATGAATGTGAGACAGAGGTGAGGGGAGCCACATTCGCTGTACTCTCTTCTTCTCCCTCCATAGCCAGTACTCAGGCCTCAACCTCGGCCAACTTACCTGCTGAGGGCCCACCCTGAGCTCTAGCCCTCATAAATCCCAGTGCCCAGGAGGCCCCTCCGCTTGCAAGTCCCATAAGCAGCGAGCCCTCAGGTCAGGCCCCTGGTTGACAGGGCCTGGCTCTCGCTCCAGCCTTCTCCAGCTCCAGCCCCCAACCCAGGACAAGGATTCCCCAGGGACCCACCCGCCTGCCAGGCCTTTCCTCACCACATGCTGGGCTCCAGGCCCTGTGGCCTCCTTCTCCTCAGGCATTTCACACTACTCTGTGCAGCCCTAGACCTGGGGAGAGGGGGAAGGCAGAGGGTGGTGGGCAGGGCTGCACCTGTGGGCAGATCACCCTGCATGCACATGTGGCACAGAGCCAGGGTGGGGAAGAGGAAGGGAAGGGGGCTGTGGCAGGGGCTGAAGGCCGGGGCTGGACTGTGCTGCAGTGGCCACATTCAGTGAAGGCTGAGATGCCTAGTTCAAACCAGGACCTCCAGGTCATTATAGAGATGGGAGGTAGGAGAACAGGACACATTTTATGCAACAGCTTGTCAGCTGTGGCTGAAACTTTTACAGATGGTGCCCCACTGTCCACAGTATGGGGCTGGCAGACCTGAGGGACAGGTTCATTGCATGAACACCTCAAACTCGGTGCAGGGCAAACCTGACTCATGACCTCCCCCAGGCCCCTCCTCCTTTTGTACTTGGGATTTCACAACACCATGCCCGGCTGTGTAAGCCAGAAACCTGAAGTCACCCAGGCCTAAAGGCAAGCCCTCCTCTGAGGCTTCCAGCCTCATAGCATGTCTGGAACATGGCTGTGGCTCAGTCAGCACCTGCTCCCTATGCGAGAAGCTGCTGACCTGTCAGGAATAGAACACAGGACCCCAGTCCTCAGGGAGCTTCCTATGTAGCAAGAGACAACAAGCAAGCAGACTATGTAATCAACATCTGGTTATAAATTGTGATGTGCACGTGTTAGGAGAACTCGCTGCGGTGGGAAGTCAGGATGCGCAGGGGGGCTTTATATCCCGGGCAGAGGAGCCAGTGCAGAGTGTGGGGTTGCACTTTAGGCAGAGGGAACCACATGCCTAACTCCTTGCCTGAGACCAGGAAGGTCTCCCTGAGTTCCAAGAAGAGGAAGCAAGGCAACGTGGCCTGTGCAGCAGCCACGGGGAGTGGGGAAGACGGGGCGGGCGGCAGGACAGACCCCACAAGCCCCAGTGGTGAGCATGTGTGGAAGCAGGGAACGCACAGATCACACAGCGTTTCTTAATTTTTAAGACCATCTGCTGTTGTGTGGAGAATGGACTGTTGAGGGAGCAGGGAGAAGAGTCAGAGGGCTGGGGACGGCCCAGGGGAGGCGGGCAGTGGCTTGAAGAGGGCAGAAACAGCAGAGGGAGGCAGGACTTGGGTATGTAGGGGATGACTGGCAGGACCAGCCACTTAGGTTGATGCAAGATGTAAAGATGGGCAAGAGGTCGGGGCAACATCTAGGTTTCCTGCTGAGTCAGGGGGTAGGTGGCAATGGCATTTGCTGCAATGGGAAGAAAATGGGGAGATGAGGCTCAGAGAAGAAAATAAGAAGTTTGAGTTTTTTAGTATTAGGTTGGAGGTATCTGTGAAATGCAAAAGGCAACTGAGAGGCACACCGGGAGTTGCCGGGAGGGGCTGGGCTGCAGCCTGTGTGTGGGCAGCAGAAAGGCGGTCCAGGCTGCCATGGAGCCGACCCAGCAGTCTGCAGAGGAGAGTGACAAGAGACTGCAAGGAGGTGAGATAAACATGGAGAGAGCCTGTCATCACACAAGAGGAGACACCCTTAACAGAGGAAGTGGTCAGCTGTGTAAAATGCTACTGGAAAGTCTAGAAGGACAAGGAGCGAGGTGGCCACGGAGTGTGACCACATGGAGATTACAGAGAAGCGGGTGCTGGGGACATGAGGAGGCAGACAACCCTGAAGTGAGGGCTGATTAGGAGGTGAGGACCTGGGAGGTGGGGACTTCCCTCACTTCATCGACTCTGACTCCAGGTCCACCCTCATCAGCTTGCCCGCACACCATCCAGTGGTCCTGGGCTGCTAGGCAGCTGGTTGGCGAGGAGCCAGTGATCCACCCCCTCCACATGTCCATGTGCCTGTACACTCCCCCGACTACTGACCCCTCAAGGGCGAGGGCTGACCCACTCACCTCAGCTGCACCCAGGTGGGGGGGGCAGAGTGCCGGGTGCAACTGCTCCACAACCGTTTGGTGAATGAATGAGTCAAAGCTGCTCATCTTGTCTTCCGTGATCACTCAGGCAAGACCATGGGAAGTGGGACCTGCCTCTCCCCTTTCCTTCCAGGCAATGGGTCTTGCATGCTGTGTGTGTTTGGGGGGACATGGGGTATGGGTAGGGGGGTACTTTCTGCTTACAGTCAACCAACTCCAGAAGTCACCAACTCTGTTCTGTCTCCTACGACTTTCATCTCTTTCCCAAGATTGCAAGGAGTGGAACTCTGAATGGGGAAATCCCTGGCACACGTAAGCAGGGCCTCTAGCTAGGAGGCAGTGTGGCCTGGATGAGGGCAAGGTAAAGGGAAGCTGGCTCCTGCCCCCAGAGCCCCTGCCAACACTCAGCTTCGATCTGCTGTCACCCCACAACTCCTGGGGTTCCCTACCCAGCCCACAGACCCCTCCCCGGGGCCCAAGGACACATAGCCTCCTGACATGACCACAGCCCATGTGCATACAGCCATGCCAGAAAGCTCCTTCCTGCCTCCCTTGAGGTGAGCCACTTCCTGTGTGCCCTCAGAGGCTGCTCAGTACAGGTGGGGGGGGGTGGCATCTCACAAACTGAGTGCAGAAGGGGAATGGAGGCCCTTTACAAGCCGTAAATCCAAGCCCTACAAGGCTGGGGTGGGGATGCAGTGTTATTATCACCGTGCTACACAACAGATGAGGAGACTGAGGGTCAGAGTAGTTACTCAGGCTGATTTGAATCCAGGACTGTCAAACCCCGGCACTTACCCTTTCTTCTGTACCCCATTACCATCTGCACACTGCTGATATGAAGGAGAAGGCCTTTCCAAATGAACAGGGCTATTGACAGTGTGAGCCTGAACTCATTTCTCCCAACTCCAAGTTTGTAACAATTTCTGAGCTGATGATGCTCATTATCATCCTTCTGGGGCAGGATGAGGGCCAAGGCCGGAAGCAGCTCAACAGGCTCTCATGTCCCTGAATTTCTCTTTGTAAAAGTTCTGTCCTATAGGGAGCCCTGAGGGCAAGGCAGCCACATGCTCCTTCCTCCAGAAAGGGCCCTGATCCCTCCTGCTCTCCAGCCTCCACACACCTAGGGCCTCAGGTAGGCCAGACTAGAAGATGCCTACCTCCCTAAACATTCCTCTGCCAGGTTAGATGTTTAGAGTCATGCTGGCCAGCTTGACCATGGACGCCCTGAGGACTGGAGCAGAGATCTGGAGGAAGGGAGGGGTGAAGGCTTCCTGTCCTGAGGCCTGTGTCTTAGAACAGGAGGGTAAAGCTGTGAGGCAGGCCAATGAACAGAGGGAGGAAGTTCATCCCTCAGGACCCCACACCAACCTCCTGGCACCTAAGTGGGCACCAGCACTGCCCCTGGTCTCCCGGACACAGGCAGGAAGTGATTATAACAGTGGATGATGACTTCTGTCTCCCGGATTTGACTGTAGAAAATCCCTTGGCAGGCACAGGAGCCTTGAGGGGCTGTCCCGACCTGCCTGTGGACTGCCAAACCCTGGCAAACAGTGGACCTGTGAACAGATGTCCAGGCCCATCTTCCTATCCTCCTCAGCAGCAAAGTCCAGCCCCAGCCTTTCTCTCCCAAGTCTCCCCTTCTCTGCTCCCTCCCAACTCTGTTCTTAGATGGGCACTCGAAGCCACTTGTCCTGGGTCTGTCCTCAGACAAACAAGGAGCAGACTCCAGAGTTATTCACCTCCATCCCCAATCCCCCTCGGCACCCAGATGCTCACAAACATGCGCTGAAATACACATGCAAAGAGCTACTTATAAGGACAAAAATGCTCACAGCCTCAGTGCCCGCTATCAGGAAAGGGACACACAGATTATGGTACATTCATACAGCCACAGGATGAAGCCCAGCAACCTTGAACTATCTTGTTTGAGGAGGGTATTTAATCAAGTGGAGAGATACTGCATATTATTAAGAAAACCAATTATATATTGAGCATGATCTCAATTTTCTAAAAACTTGTGTATTTGGGCAATAGTATACCAAAATATTGGTTGATAATGGCTACCTGTGCATGATAATGGTACACATTTTAAGCCCCTTATGCTTTTTT